GGCCACGTCATGGCCGGAGAGAAATAAAGGCGGTAAGTATACATCATTTTCCCCTTTATTGGAGACCCATTGTCTTTGTCTCATTGTGAGCGGACTGATCTTAACGAATTCACATGCAGAGTACATTACGAGTTCACATGTAGCTACTGTGAATATGCGCTTCTAACTTAAATCCAATAATTTTGTTTCCATTGATCATTCGTATCAAATAAATAAAATAAACAATGCAGATAAATTTCTCGATTCAAGTTCGAATACAAATAACAAATATTGCAAAAACATTACCTATGGAGTTTGGATGGATAAATATGATCATTTTACTTTTGGACAAAAATATAACCATTTAGAAAACTCTTCCGTCTTCTAGCCGATCAACACAATGTCCATGAAGGAGCCTGGAGTAATTAGGGTTGAAACTCTCTCCATTGAGTTTCGAACCCTTATGTGCCTAGCGAATTTCGAACTCGAGACCTCTCACTAGGCCTGGTAACCGCACAACTAGTGCTGGACTCGGGCCGGTTCGGGCCCGGTTCGGGCCTGGGCCCGGCCGGGCCTCGGGCCAGGAAAAGGAGGCCCGAGCCCGAACCGCCGGTGGCCGGTTCCGGTCCCAGTTCCGGGCCGGGCCGGGCCGAACCAGCCCATTTTTTTTTTTTTTTTTGTTCTCCTATTTAATCCCCTACCCCTCCCCCTCAACCCCAAACCATCCCAAACCACCTCAAATGGCCCAAAATACCTAATCCAACCTAAAACTTAAAAAAATTTCAAAAAAAAAAAAAAATTAAAATCCGGCCCGGACCGGGCCCGGACCGGCCGGGCCGGTTCACCAAAACCTGGGCCCGGGCCCGAACCGCCCAGCAGCCGGGCCGGGCCGAACCGAACCGGTGGACCCACCGGGCCCCGGGCCGGGCCGGGCCAAACAGTAACCGGGCCGGGCCGGTTCCGGGCCGGGCCGCCCGGCCCGAGTCCAGCACTACGCACAACCATCAAAACCTTATCTCATCGTGTCCCTACTTTCTTCGCACAGCTATGGCCTAGCCTCCTCTCCACCGCCATAAACCACCGACCATGGTGCCACACCGATCTTCCTTCAACTCTACATAGGGTTGAGGCGCCTATTCTCTTCGCACGGCCATGCCGCCTTCTCTCAGTCGGTCCGCCTCTTTGAGCCTCGTCCCGCCTCTCTGCTGCATCTCGTCGTCCCTCGCTCGAGGGTCGTCGATGATGACCAACAAGCCGCCATAGCTTTATTCTCTTCTAATCTAGTGTAGGCAAATGAGGCGGTGTCGGGTTGGGTGACTCAGGTGGGTTACACAGGTGGTTGAGTCAAGATTATAAGGTAGGACGTGGCTTGAGGGGCTGTGTTGCGGCGTTGTTGGGTGGGCTGGGAAGGATGCCGTCTGCTGGGGCCTGGGTTGGGGCGCAGCTGGTGGAGGAGGGTCACGCTAGAGTCACTTTTACCAAAGTCGTTGTGTCATTGTGCCAGAGTTGCCGTTACACTGTGACCTGATCATCGTCATCGTGTCACTGCGGCCAGATTCACTATGTATTGTGGGCGGAGTCACTGACTCATTGTCGTCGTGTCACTGTGGCTGGAGTTGGCGTGTCACTGTAGCAGGCGTATAACTGTGGCCGGAGTCGGAGTGTCACTGTGACCGGAATTGGCGTGTCACTGTAACCGCGACTGATATAATAGTGATGGTAGTCACATTTTTGGAAATGAAACAAAAGGTCACTTTTTTTAACGTTTATCCACTTTTTAGTAATATTGGAGTAAAAACCCCTACAAATAATAATATATTTAATTGGAACAATTTTCAAGTATATTCAAATGATAAATTCATTTAATATAAAAAAATACTTGTATAAACTTTAACGTAACTTATTTAAGTTATTTTGGAGTTATCATTCTCCATAGACCTATTTATATTGATTTGAATTTTGGTGAAATGACTTACGGATACGTTTTGATGGAAGATAGTGCTACTCCGTATGAAAATGAAATGGGTCATAAAGGACAAATTATACTTCGTATACAAGAATATATTTTAAATACTTTGGTTAAGTTGACATTTAATCTTTTCCAAATTTAAATATTCGAATATAATTCGATCATTTGAATATAACAAATAAAGAAGTTTTTTTCTAAAATATTACTAAAAAAAGTTACTGACAAAATGTGAATTGATAACTTTTAGTGACTAAAATTGTTTACATATATGATGTAGTGACTATGACGTAAACTTGGAATACAATGAAACAAATTAAAATGAATACATAATAAGATTCGATTATTAAATGAAACAAATATTCGATAATTTATATGAATTTAATAATCAATAATAATGTGAAGCATTCGATTCTATTCGACTTGCTTACATCCTTAGTGTCACAAGTCCATTTACAACATCACACACATGCAAGAAATGGCGCTTAATTGATTGATTGTGTGTCCTTTTGTTCCATACACAATTTCTCAGAGAAGAGTAAGTGATTGATCAAACACCACAATCTATACACTCCATTTTCATTTTTAGCTAGCAACTTTACTTATCAATATATATATATATATATATATATATATATATATATATATATATGGAAAAGATCTTGTCCAGCCGGAGGGACAGGATCCTCCGTCCGGCCGCCGCCGTTTAGGGCGGTTCCCGGTGGAGTTTTTTGATGAAATTTTTATGGAATGTTCCTCATCAAGTCTAGTTTATCAAAAAAAAATTCAGCTAAAAACTCGATCGGGAAGGCAGTCAACTAATTTTTTGAAACATAACTGCGTTTTATATGTTTAATTTGGAACAGTTAACTTCAAAAAATTATTTGACTGCCTTCCCGATCGAATTTTTAGCTGAATTTGTGTGTGGATAAACTAGACTTGATGAGGAACATTTCATAAAAATTGCATCAAAAAAATCCACCGGGAACCACCCCAAAAGGCGGCGGCCGGACGGAAGATCCTGTCCCACCGGCTGGACAGGATCATTCCTATACATACATACATACATACATACATACATACATACATACATACATACATACATACATACATACATACATACACACACACACACACACACACACACACACACACACACACACACACACACACACACACACACACACACACACACACACACACACACACACACACACACACACACACACACACACACACACATATATATATTACTTACTTCAAGGGGTGTCTGGGGAGAGGGTCTGGGGGGCCTGACGTAAACTGAGCTGAAACTCACTCCATTGAGTTTCGAACCCGAGACCTTCCATAAGGGAGAGTGAGTCGGCGACCAGTTGAGCTGTACCGCTTCCTCACTCTATTCATCAACAAACGTATGTACATTTTTTTTAAGAAACAGATTTTATTAAAATAAAGCCAGAGTACATGATAAAAAGTAACAAGTAAAAGCAAAGAGAAAGAAAAAAGAAGGAAATAAAGAAAACCCCAACCCAAAGCTTAACAAGAAATCCCTTAAATTTTTAGATAATCCCAAACCCCTGGTCAAAACTTCAACGATCTGCTCGCGATTGAGATCGCGTCCTCATAAGATGCAAACGCTAATTCTTTTTTCTGTAAGTTCTTGTCTGCGTGTTCAAATTCTATGTAGGTAGACAATTTTCTCGCGTGACCCTTAGTGCTTTGACACAAATATCATCATTTGCATCAGAGTCCCATAAATTATCCACAGTCGAGATAGAAACCCTGTTTTCATTCTCTGAAGCATGTCCAAGGACTTCATCCCTTGAGAATGGAGAGCACGGGTCGCCATAAAATCCATCACAAGCAAAAGCATTAGAAAGATTAACAACCCATCATATCCCGACTCTTGATCTCCGGACTGCTGCTGATGAGCTTTCTCCACAACGGAATTAGAATTCCCTTCGTTAGAGGGTCCCAAAATCAAGCTGTCACGCTTATCTAAAACCGAAGCAAGAAGTCTTTCAATTTCATTAGTTAGAAAATAAGATAATGAATTCACCCCATTTGACAAAGTGACTTGAAAGAAGTCCTTAAGATTCGAAATTGCATCAAGTTCATGCGAATGCTTAATTAGGTTTTGTTGTGTCATTGAAACTCAACTCTCGCTCCAGTATCAGATTGAAACAAAGCTCCTGAAATGGAAATATCATGTGCCGAACAAACCTATGTACATATAAGGATGTCATTTGGTAACACTGTTTTTCGGCTTAAATTAGCAGGCTTATCAACCAATTTTTTCACAAAACACATAACTTTTGATTTCGCGCACAGAATTATGTAATAATAAGAAAAAGTAAGGTTGGAGTTACTTTCTGGCTGTATTGACCGAAGTTACTGTAGATGACCATTTTAACTATTTTTACATATAATTTTAATTTGTCTTTATTTTATTAATAAAATATATTTTGAAAATTATTTTTTCTTAAATCAGCAGTATCAGCCAATGCAACCACTTCAGCCATATCTTCATACATTTCAGCAGAATTAGCCGATGCATCCGATTTTCGTGTTTCCAAATGGGCCCAAGGTATCTATAGTGTCATAGTTAGTAGAGGAATTGTCGCCATTGGATTTGATAATCTTGAAGTATTTCCACATTAGCCAATAAAAGTACTTGGAGAATTAGTGTCCGTTTGGTAGCCCAGTTTTTCGGCTTATCAGCCAACTTTTTCACCAAACACATAATTTTTGATTTCGAGCGTTGATCGAATTGCGTAATGATAAGAAAAAGTATGGTTGAAGTTATTTTTGTGGTTGTATTTGCTGAAGTTACTGTAGATGATCATTTTAACTATTTCCTCATATAATTTTTTCTTTATTTTATTAATAAAATATATTTTAATTTTTTTTAATAAATCAGGGAAATCAGCCAATTTTATCAGAATTTCGTAAATTTGAGTAGAATCAACCGCCAATTTTGATACTGTATTACAAACGGGTTCTTATTTTACTTCTATTAGAACAATTTCTTAATCGTAAGTACGTAGTAATAAAGCAATAATTGATATGGTTATGATTATGTCGGCATGGGTATATCCGTATATATGATAGACAAATATACACAGTGACTTAGCACATACGTGCGTCCTATAAATAGGCTGGGAAGATGATATAATGACTCCAACTATATAGGCAAGCTAGCTTCAATTCGTGCATCTTTGGGAAAATATATTGAACTAAGCTAATTTATAGATAAGCTAGCTCGGGAAGATGACGAGTGAACTAGTGCAAGTGCAACCAAAAGGAAAGGTGATAAGCATTCTGGCCATAGATGGGGGCGGCGTTAGAGGAATTATTCCAGGCACTATTCTTGCTTTTCTTGAAGCTCAGCTGCAGGTATAGTACCTCCAATCTCACTATCTTCAATATTCAATAATAGTCCTTCCGTTTTATTGGACTTTGCCAACTTTGTGATTCTATTTATTTCGCTAGCCGTATTTTTCTTTGCACAAACCTCATGCATCAACCACACCACATGTCTTTTACTTTTCTTATTCCTCGCCTAATCCGAAGTTGGCGAAGTCCCCCAGGACGGATGAAATAGTGATAAATGAATTGATTGATACAATGATGAACAGAAATTTGAGGGGAACCCAAATGCAAGGATTGCAGACTACTTTGATGTGATAGCAGGAACCAGCACTGGGGGGCTTGTGACGGCAATGCTGACCACGCCCGGAGATAATGGCCTCCCTCTCTTCGCCGCCGCTGATATTCCCCCCTTCTATTTGAACGAGTGTCCTAACATCTTCAAAAAAGAATCCAAAACCAAAACTGCCAGCACCCAAAGCCTGGTTACTTCCTTGCTCACCACAAACGTTGCTGATGTTACTGCTGCTGTGGAAAACCCCAACTTTGAGTTGCCCCAGTTTTCAGAAGAAGATATCCCTGACTTTTACAAGCAGCGCCTCCCTCATTCAGCCCCGCCGCCGCTTCAAACGCCCATAGCGAATGCCCATATGATAAGTAATTTGAAGTACGGATCACCAAACATAATACCCCTCCGTATTTTAATGTTCACTACATTAGGTTGGACACATTATTTAAGAAGTAAAGTAGTGGTGAATAATGTAAAAAAAGGAGAAAGTGTATAAAAGTATGAAAGCTAAGAGAGGATAAAAAATACTACCTCCGTTCCTAAAAATTCTTCCCGGTTTGACTTGACACGCTTATTAAGAAACTGGAATAAAGTGAAAATGTATGGTTGTGGTTGTGTAAGAAAAAAGTAAAATGAATGTGAACCACACAAATTGTCCAAAAAGGGAAAGTGAGAAGTATTTTTGGAAACGGCCCAAAAAGAAAAGTGAGAAGTATTTTTGGGAACGGAGGGAGTAGATAAAGTAAGAATAGTTGAGTATTTTATAAAGAGTAAACTAACCAAAAATGGATGTGAAAGAAACTTTTAAATACAGCCCAAAAAGGAAAGTGTAGAGAACTTTTAAATACGGAGAGATGAATATGTAATTGTGTAAAATTTATAACTTTTACACATGAAAGTATTTTTACCAAAGAACAATTAATTTTCATATTTAAAAACATTTCATATATTTAGTGTTATTGGTCAAACTTGATCATCAGTGATCAAGATTTATGTAACCGAGTGAGTATTACGGAGTACATTTTTAAGAAGTTATATATACAAACACACTTTTTCTCATATCTTTGATCACCATTTTACGTCTTAATAAATAACTAATCGCCTTATCCTAAACAACTAAATAACTTCAATTTGAATGATATGGACGGGTCGAACAAGACAGGTAATAGTAATTCCCTATTCCTACCGTCCAAAACAGGACACAATGTGTGGCCAGTGTGGGTATCATCTATAATCTTGATACCATCCGCTATTAACTATTTGACAATACTGTTTTTTCGGCTTATCAGGCTTATCAGTTAGCTTTTTCATCAAACACTTACATATTTTTTGTTTGCGCGCTCTGAATTGTGTAATAAGCAGAAAAAGTAAGGTTGAAGTTACTTTTCTGGCTGTATTGGCTGAAGTTATTGTAAATGACTATTTTAATTATTTTTACATATAATTTTTTCTTTATTTTATTAATGAAATATATTTTAAAAATATTTTTTTCTTAAATCAGCAAAATCAGCTAATACAGCCACTTCAACCAGAACTTCATAAATTTCAGCAGAATCAACCAAAACAGCCAATTTTGGTGTGTCCAAACGGGCTCTAGCGAATAATAGTCATTGTCATTCTTTCCAAAAAAATAGTCATTGCCAAACACACATCATATATAGTCATTGTGATATAAATTGTGAACATAATTATAAATTGTGAACATAATTATAGTAAAAAATGTTACTAAATCACATTTTATGCGTTATCTTTATTTTGATCACATATTAGAAATTGTTGCGTGCTAATTATTAGATGCAATATTTGTGCAGTTTGTTTGCATTTTCGGATATTTGGGCTTGGTTTAAGAAACTAGGGTCTAGTGTGTGGTATGTCATCGAGTTCATTGAGAAGATGGGTTTTCGTCCAATGTATGATGGTGCTTACTTGCATGCCAAGATCAAAGAAATGGTTAAAGACATCAAGCTTAACCAAACTCTCACTAACGTTGTCATCCCGACTTACGATGTTCATCGCTTGAAACCAGTCATCTTCTCCTCTTTTCAGGTCAGAATTTCATGATTGTTCTAATTCAATGTATAGCGTTCTTGTATGTCCGTGTGCCTTGGCATGGTGGTATATAAAGATTTATTCAAGATAAATTTTGTTATTACACACGTTTTTACTTGGACTTATTTCAGTCTCAGACCAAACCAGCTCAGACTAGATCAAATCAAATCAGATCAGATAAAAAAATTCAAATTTGGGGTGGGATAGACCTAATATGGCTAGTTGACTAGTTTGTTTAATTGATCAATTGAATTGAATTGTAGGCAAGGAAGGAGGCTTCAAAGAACCCAAAACTGGCAGATGTATGTATTGCCACGTCAGCAGCACCGATTTACTTACCTCCACATAGATTTGAGTTGCAATCATCTCAAGGGATTGAGAAGTTCAACCTCGTTGATGGCGGAGTTGCCGCCAACAATCCGGTAAGTAACAACGCTTATAAGAAATTTATTTATACTCCGCACAAAATAATAATTACTCTGTACTACGAGTACGCAAAGCATTGCGTGCAAATTTAAGAGTATCCTTAATTTACCATAAACTACTCCATAGAATATATTCAACTCTATTAAAAGGTAAGATTAGTGAGGAAAATGAATACCTTAACTATTAAAAGGTAAGATTAGTTTTGTTGCATTTTTATACCATAATTTTTAAATGAAACAAAGCAGTATTATAAATCCATAATCAACAAACAACAACAACAACAACATCCAAACCTTAGTCCCAAAAGATATTAGGGTCGGCTAACCTGAATCGATATATGATATCACAAAAGGAAAGAAAGAAAATAAAGATAAAAAGATAAGCTATTATAAAAAAGATAGTATATCCATATAAAATATACAGAAGAAATGATAAAAATAATATTTATATATAAGAAGAAAAGGATAAAAAAGAGGTGAAAAGATGATACAAGATCACTTCTTCACACGAATATCCGCCCTCCACTTAGCTTTCTCTAAAATCATATCCTCATCCAATCCAAGAAAAAACATATCATTTCTGACTCACCTAACCCACGTCTGTTTGAGTCTTCCTCTCCCTCTCTTTCCTGTTCTCCCTAATCATACATAAATATTTCAAACGATGATACCATTCAAATTTCTCGCTCAATTTTTTACGTGATGCCCAATAATCTATGCATACCCTTCAAATTCTATGCAGAGTCCACCAAATAATTGAAAATTGACTTTAAGCATGAAATTCGAGCCGCCAATTGACTTAATTTATTTAATTAGCCAGAAATTACAATAATATTGCCGGTTGAAACATTTATGTATGGTTATGATACTGATTTGATTCATTTAAATCTGATTTTTGTTATCAAAAGGAACCAATATCAATATTTAAGATCTCATTTGTATATGTGCATTTTATTTAGATTTGACTTGATTAGTTGAAGGTCCACAAATAGGACTATATGTGTTTTATTTTCAAAACGAGACTGTTTTGATCCTATAATAAGTGTAAAATTTCTCCTGAGCAAATAATTCTTATTTTAGGAAAACGATGATAATTATATATGTGCATTTTATTTACAACTCCTATATAAGAAATTTTCTTGGATGATTGATTAGGTGCTGGTGGCTATATTGGAAGCGGCAAAAGCTTATAATGTCCGGCCACTGCCGGAAAATTTCAGGATCCTGTCATTGGGGACGGGATCATGCACAGGCACTCAAATGGCCGAAGTGGGCGACCCCACTAGTTGGGGCGTGGTCAGGTGGTTGCTGTTTCCGAACAACACCCCTCGTATCACCGACGTTTTCATGGGCGGCAATGAGAGCATGGTGGACGCCTACACCTCTCTGCTTTTCAGCGGCGGAGCCACTTCCGGCGGCCCCGACAATTTCCTCAGAATCCAATACCAAGGAATGAAGTACGATGAATGTCTGGTTGATGACTCTAGCAAAGCCTATCTACAAAAATTGGAACAGTATGCAAATGATCTGCTTAAGGATCCTGTTTCTGGTCCGACCACTTCCAACGCTCTTGAGCTCACAAATGAAGAGGCTCTCATTTCGTAAGTTCTCATTTAACTTAGTGACAACATTTTTATTTCACGTTGTCTAAGAGATGACTTTAACCTTTCATATACAGAGCATTTGAGTGGATCTTAATAACAATCAAAAAATTGGAATTTTATACGTATTTGAGATAAATTTTTAGGTTTTATAATTTAAATTTTAATAGAAGTGTGGGAATTATGTGCATAATGAACACATAATCCACATACAATGGTACAGACTACTGAGACTAGTTTAGCATGATTTATCATCAATAAATGATACTACCTTGTCCCACTAATATTGAAATATGATGGGATGGTGTGGTTATTAAGAAAAGTGAGGATATGTGCTTGTTATTGAATTGATAAAGTAAGTATAAAATAAAAATGATTTAGAACCCACACAAATTTTACCAAATTTGATTTGAGACAATCTTAATTGGACGGACCGAAAAGAAAAGATGAGACCCCGATTTTAGCGGAAGTACATAATGTACCTATGAATTGAAACACGGATACTTCACTAGAATACCATATCGGTGAATCGGAAACGTTCGCATATCAGATAATCTAGGATACTTCACTTTATCCACCACTATTTTTTAAAAGGGTAATAATGTAATAGTTAGAATAAGTACAATAAACACTTGCATAACAGAATTGATACTATATGAATATTTTAACTAATGCTATAATCAATTCATTACCCTGAAGATGCAGCAGGTCAACTTCAAATCTTCAATAATTTCAACAATTTGAGTATGTTGCAGGTTTGCTCAAAACTTGGTGAAAGACAAGAAGCATTGATGATTGTGGTAATTAAGAATAAGGAAGGGCCTAGTTGAGTGACGATGCAAACTTCATTCCAGGCCACTTTCCAAAAAAATATATCATCCGATCTTACTTAGTGTGTCATTTTCAGTAATACTCCGTAATAATAATGTTGTAACAAGACGTATGAAAATAAATGTATTCGATCGATCGATCGATCATATATTATCAGCCATTTCAGTATGTATAACTACACTACTACTACTACTAGTGTGGTGCTAGCCGCTAGGCTGGTCATCCATATGATGTGTGTCTTCATCCTAATAATGAAATCTTGGTGTGAGATATACTCCGATCCGTATATAATACGGAGTATATTCTTTCTTTTCTTTTGCGAATTTGTCTAATGCTAGACTATTCCTCATAATCTTATATTCATAATCCTTACTGGCAGTATTTTGTTTCGACAAATTTTAATTTTATTCATACTTTATAAATTCAATATAAATCAAGCACCAATTATCTTGATAATTGTAACACTTCCTCACGTTCAAAAGTAAAATTAACTGATGGAGGGAGCAGAAGATGTTGGTTTTAGGTTAGGGTTGTAATAGACAAAACGTTTTCCCAACTCCCAAGCAGTACTTGGTGTTGGTTTTGACTTGTGAACTGTATATGTCTTTCATATGCTCTGTACGAATTGAAGGGCGTAGTCAGAACTCAAAATACAATGACCTCTACTTCCGCCCCTGCTCTATGGTGCTTTGTAATTTGTATATAAAAAGTGATTACTATTAGTTTAATTATATCTTATTATTTTATTATAAAAATATTAAAACCACTCGTGATGGCAATGGGATTTTAGGTATGTAATTGTGTGTTTTGTTGTAGTCATTGTAACATTAAATATCAACCCCTATTACTCCTTACCTCCATTACAATCCAACATAATAGTTGGGTATGGATTTAACTTTATACAATGCATAAGAGTTTGAAACTCAATAAAGCAAATTTCAACCCTGATTACTCCAGGCTCCCCCACCTCCACCCCCAGACCCCCCCTAAGGTAATAAAAAAGATTTGGTTCGACTTGCTTACATCTCTACTAGTGCCCCAAGGTGCATTGCACTAGGTCATTCCGACTTCCCAAACTCTTAACAAAAATAAATATGAATTGTTTGAACAAATACAAGAAATCACGTTTAACTAAATGATTGTGCGTGTCTTTAATTAGGTTTAGGGGAGGAGCCAGAACACTGAACCGATATGAAATGGGAAGTATATTTTTGGAAAAAGTTTTGAACATACCTTTAACCTTTGAGTTTAATATATTTTTTAAATTTGTGGTAGGCTCAAGTTGCCCGCTCGTGTACCCGGCCCTTGCTTAGGTTCCAAGCACGAATCCTCATAGAGCCATTATTGATTGATCAAACACCTCAATTCAATCTATACACTCCATTTTTATTTTAACTAGCAACGTAACTTTATCAACAAACCTATGCAAGTATAAGGATGTTTTTATTTGGACGGTAATTCGTCCCAAACCAGATCAAATCAGACCAGACTTGGATAGTTATAAAAATACAAAGAGACCAGACATTACTAGACCAAACCAGACCAGCTAGACCTGTTCAGACCAGGCCAGGCCAAATCAGATCAGACCAAACCAAACCAGCAAATTACAGTCTAAGTAAAAACATCCTAAAGCATCTATAGTGTCATAGTTAGAAGAGGAATTAAAGTAATTACTAGATAAACACGAGCCCATAAAATTACTATATACTCCATGCTACTATTATATATTTTCCAAGTAGAGAGAGGCTGTTTGACAACACTGCTTTTCAGCTTATCAGGCTTATCAATCAACTTTTTCACCAAACACGTAATTTTTGTTTTCGCGCGCTGAATTGTGTAATAAGCAAAAAAGTAAGGTTGAAGTTACTTTTCTGACTATATTGGCTGAAGTTACTGTAGATGACCATTTTAGCTATTTTTACATATAAATTTTTCTTTATTTTATTAATAAAATCTATTTTAAAAATATTTTTTCCTTAAATGAGCAAAATCAGCCAATGCAGCCACTTTAGCCAGAATTTCATAAATTTCAGCAGAGTCAGCCAAATCAGCCAATTTTCGTGCTACCAAACAGGTTCTATATATTATCTCATGCTACTTTTTCTATCAACTTCACCTTTTAGAGTGATATTCCGAGTCTTCATAACATAATTAATTATATTTAAAAAAAAAAAACTTCCTCCATTCTTTCTTAGTTGCAACATTCCCTTTTTCACGTTTGCCAACGCACAACTTTGACCGTCATTATATTTAATTCCGTATAATAGTAAAAATAAATAAAAATCTGATTATAAAATTTAGTAATGAGACGAATTTAACAATATTTTTCAAAAATAATAATTCATATACATTAATAAATATAATGTAGTAAAAGTAAAGTATATGAATAGTGTATATATTCCGATGTTGCAACTAATGCTATACGGAGGATAGTATATACAAAGTAATGCATTTATTTTGGAATTTTACATGGCCTTTTTATTCCAATATTACTAAAAGGAATGAAAATGATAAAGAAGTGATTTGTTTTAAATTTTCCCAAAAATGTGACTAAGAGTCATTTAATCCTTGTATTTAATCATACATTAAGTATTTTGATATTCTTTTTATATATTTGATTATTATTAGTCCATACTTTGCAGCCACCAGCACCTCCCCAGCACAACTGTCGCCGCCACCGCCTCCACCACAACCGTCGTCGCCACCGCTACCCGCCTCCGCCGCCGGCACCACTGCTGCTAGTCACTATCTCAGTGACTTCCGGTCACTGAAGCCACCAAACTCCAGTCAATGAATAGTGATGACAGCCACCCCAACTCTGGTCACTGAACAGTGACCGCCACCCCAACTCCGGTCACTGAACAGTGACCGCCACCCAACTCCAGTCACTGAACAGTGACCGCCACCCAACTCCGGTCACTGAACAGTGACTGCCACCCCAACTCCGGTCACTAAATAGTGACCGCCACCCAACTCCGGTCACTGAACAGTGTTAGTCCCCAACCATCGCGCTAGCATCCCCACCGCCACAGCCACCGCGACGCCACCCGCATGCACTGCCAGTCCCCAACCCTAGCCGTCTAGCCCCCAACCTCCAATCCTCACCACTGCCGTCTTGACCCTAGCCATCGGACAATCCGCCAACCAATCACCGATCTCTAGCCAACCACCATCGTAGTGAGGTAGGGCCGCCGCCACCGATCTGGTATCGATGCTCTGTCAATGAGGACCACAATGACGGTAGGGAAGAAGACAACTCTGAATCTCCTTCCTACGACCGGACAGTTTGAGAAGAACAAGAAGACGTGGGGGTGGGGCGAGGACAGGACATATGACGAGGGCAAGGACGATGATGGCTAAGATTAGGGCGGCGGCGAAGATCTGATGAAGCACGAATCGATCCCAACCATTTTCGTCCAATAGCGCTCAGGTGAAGATGAAGTGACGTCGATTGTAATCTCAATCGCCGATTGGCGTGCGACAGCGGCTGAATAGAGAGGTTGCCACTCGCTGTCACCGGCGCGAGCGCAAGGGAGACGGTAAGGACGGCGAGCGCGATGGCGAGCCAGAGGATGCTGGCGGCGTCGCGTGGAGATGGCGGTGCAAAGTCCGTCGATCTGTCTTCGAGCTGAGCTGCATTCTTCTTCGATCTGTAAAGGAGATGAAGAGCCTCGAAGCCTTCGAACAGGAGAAGGGCACGATCCAATTCAGTTTTGAGTCATATTTTTGAAAAAGCAAAATGGGTCATAGTTTTGGAAATGAAAAGCCCAATAGTTATTTCCATGCCATTTTTTCATTTTACATTATTTTACTCCAATTTCTTAATCTTAAGTAACAAATCAATAAATCCGCACGAGTAAATCAGTTGGTCCAATGATTAAATCAGTTAGTCCAGTGATGAGAAAGTTGGAAAATTAACCAAGGAGCAAAACCCCACAGTTCCTGCGGACTGGGCTGAACTTCTGGTGCGCATTGATACAAGATCTACCACCGTTATACTGACTGAGTCATCGTGACTATAACCTCCTAAATGTAACAACCCAATATATTGCTATGGTTATGATCGATTATGTACGGCATGGGCATATGATCGATAGACAAATATACATAGGGGAACTTGGCACATACGTACGTGACTATAAATAGACAGTGAAGATTGATATAATGATCACCCGAACTAGCTCGGCAAGCTTCAATTCGTGCCATCTTCGGAAAAATATATAGTATTGAACTAAGCTAATTATATAAGCTAAGCTAGGCTATCTTGCCCAAGAAGATGACGAGTGAACTAGTGGCAAGTGCAACCAAAAGGAAAGGTGATAAGCATTCTGGCCATAGATGGGGGAGGCGGTCAGGGGAATTATTCCAGGCACCATCCTTGCTTTTCTTGAAGCTCAGCTCCAGGTACTATACGTTTAAACTCTAGCATGCATCATCTTCATCAATCATCATCTATTTGTCGCTGTATCCATCCATCCATCTTATAGCAGTATTGCTATTGCATGATTCGACTTCTTGAGAAGATTTATGGACTTCAATTATTTACAGAGGAACAATAATCTTGACAGAATCATCTTATAATCTTTTTATAGCGTCTTTGGTAACTTTCATTTTTAACACATTAGTTTCTTTTTTGGTTGAATTTATTGAAATGAGTAAATGGACAACTTTCGAGAGAAGACTCTTGGACAAATCGTTGCCAGCTTGCGTAAAATTTTAGGGTAGAATTCTATGGGTACCCATAATGGTACCATACATTTGTCCACTGGACCAATGAAAAATGTTGCAGTTGAATTATTTAAATCTAAATTAATAATGATAAAGTGATGTAGTCCAATCAAATGAATGATATGTACGGTACCATCATTTTTTTAAAAAGTACCGGAGTTGTCACCAAATTTTTAGTTCTGAATAGTACTAAATATGTTTTAATAGAAAATCCCTTTTTATAAAAATTTTATCAATTGGAGGGCATGCTTTTGAGTAAAGTTGAGTGACTAATAATGAACGTTGATGTTAAAGTCCTACAATCTCTTTACAATATTGTGTTTCATAAATTTATATTTCGAAAATTATACTTCCTCCGTCTCTATATAAAAGACATAGTTTGAATGACACACATCTTTAGACGAAATACTGTTTGACACTATTTGAACACTGTTTAGTATTGTTTTGCACTATTTTGCACTTTATTGTTTTGCCAAAAAAGGAA